AGAGCAGCAGACAGTTAAGTTTCACTTTCACTTTGCTTTGTTACTGCCGAGAGCCTGCAGGAGTCATGGGCAGGGTGTATGGGGTGGGAGGTGGGGAGGTGTGCTCCGTGATGAGGACGCTCGGCTTAAAGACACGTCCCAGGGGCGTTCCTGGTACCAAAAGGCGTTTCTGGTCCCCACATGTCGTTTTGCTCCTCAGCATGGCTGCCTAAAAACGCTGCAGGATTTCTCAAACATGCATGAATGAGTCAAAGCAAGGCTTTGAGCATGTTTTTTTATGAGAGTATAACATTATAACATGATATAAAACTCAAAAAAGTTTATTTTACATGATATTGCCCCTTTAACTCCACCACCAGCTCTTCCCTGTCCACCTGCAGAGATACAGAAACCCAGAGGTCAAAAACTAAAAAAATAAATAAATAAAAATAACTGCTTCATAAAGCTGCTGAAAGGGTATTTTATCTGCACATCAGATGTGGAGAGACATGAGACGTTGTGAATAAGAGCTGCACTAAAACACCAGTTTGTTTCATTTCCTTCATCAAAGCAGTTTTTTTTTTCTTTCCTGGTCCCGTGGTGGGCTCTGTTCCGACAGTTATCAGCAAGCTGGTTGATTTCCTGCACAGGAAGTGTGATGAGATGGCATCTCCTGACCAACTGTCGCGCTGAGCACTGGGCTGAATCGAACAGTTTACGCTGCTCTCATTTCACACAAAACACAAAATATTCGTTTCTATTTATTTAAAAAATCTATGTTTTTGGGTTTGTTTGTAAAAACTCAGTAGAGGTCACAGACCTTGGTAGCCTCCTGAAGCCAGTGGGATTCCTGCTCCACCTCCTGGTACTACACAACACAAAACATGAGCCAAGACAGACAGCAGTTTGGTCAACAGCAGAACATGCTTTGAGAAAATATTTGACAACTACAAATTTATGCAAAACAGTATCCCCATTTGCCAAATCTGTGTGGCTGGGTGGGTTAGTTTATTTAAACTAGAAAAATTTAATTGTACCAAAAGGCTTCGGAGGTTTCCCTACAGGCTGTATTCCAGTTCCTGGTCTGACCGCATTGCTGGGAACAACACCATACGGCACTAAAACACAGGAGGAACACATGCAGTGTTGCAATTTAAAACACATTCATTAAAACACCATAAAAAGTAAAACAACAACAACAAAACAATAAATAAATAAATTTAAAAAACCTGCCTGCGTAAGGTGCATATGGTCCACTATTTGGATATCCACCTCCACCCTGAACTGTGAAAGAGAAGAATTAGAACATGTGTCAAACTTGAGGTCCGTGRGTCAAATCTGGCCCCCTTTAACATTTTATCCAGCCTTAAAGGTAATACTTTAAAGGTGAAATAGTTTTATGGTTTCCCTCTTTCTCACTGCATTTAGTGATTTGCCTCATGACAGAATGCCAGCTTTCAAACCAAGAAATTTACTTTTTCAGTAATCTTTGATTTTGGTGCAGAAACAGCAACAGAAAATCAACTTTAATATTTTTTTCTGCATTCTCTTCCTATTTTAAAGTCATATTTTTTTCAGTGAGGATTTTATTTTTTAACTGATTTACTGGAATATAATACCACTAAGAAATAACAAATAAAAAGTTGTTTCTTTAGTGTAAAATGTCTAAATGTAATTATTTTTCTTTATCTTTTAGGTTATGTATGTTCTAAATGATAAATAAGAAACAGTTTGGAAAATGTCATTTGTATTCTTTAAGAATAATTTGTTAAATATAATAATTTTTTTTCCAGGAAACGTTGACAGACTGACCCTGGCCTTGGACCAAGTTTTGAAGTTTGGCCCCCTGTGTAACTGAATTTGACACCCCTGTATTAGAGGACTCAAGGTAAGATTTTAGCCAAAATTCAACATGTGCTGCCATTTTGTCACTTCTCTTTATTATTTTTTGAATAGCTTTAACGATACCACAAAGTAGGGATTTCAATAAATCATTACATAAAATGTTTAATCTTTAGACAGTTTGCCATTTGGGAAAACTAATATGAGAAATACAATAATTATCTTTGTAATAATTTTTTTGCTTTCAGTCAAACTAGTCTAAAGATCACAATTATTAAATCTAAATTGATTTAAATAGATTTTTTTAGATTCGTTAAATGTTTAAAATGCATGAAAACATAGATTTTTCAGAGCCATTTGAAATTGTTTTCACGTTTCTCATGTAATACTGAATGTTTTTGTTACATTAGCATTTAAGTGTGACCCAAAAAGTGCAGAATAGCAAAAACAGCCAAAAGATCGGAACCTGCAGATGCTTAAAACTGATGACTCTTGAGTCTGTTGGAGGTGCAATTGGCTTGAGAAAGGTCTGATGCAGCTTTTTCCTTCTAAACAAACTGATTTCATTGATTTAAGTTGGATCATTAGTCGTTCAGATGGAACGTGTTTGTTAAACATTGATGCAGCCTGAATATCAAAGAGATCCAGAGATTCAGCAGAGAGAGGATGAGAACTGACAGAGTTTAAATGTGAGCAAAATGAAGTCCTGTTAACTTGTCTGTTTTATTAAAACAAGCAAGTTTAGTGCAGTGAAAACCAACAGAATAATAAAAAATAAATAAMCATTTACAGCATCAGGATTCAGCTCATCTTACCTGGAATGTACTGCAGTGGTTTCGGTGCTTTGGCTCCAACACCTGAAAGCAGCAGAGCTCAGAATCATCAGAGCCACAGTTTGCAGCAGAAACAGCAGTTCTAATGTTTGTCTTTGTCTCTGCCTTGTGGTCAGAAATGGAAAATCATCCTGCACTAAAGAGCTTACTGATCCAGATTTTCCTAAATATGTTTTATGATAATGCTTTCGATTCAATTAAATTCAAGACTTTTCTTCTCTTAATATAGTTTGATTTTCTCAGCTACACATTGGTTTACGTTACGCTTGTTTCTGATGATTCAGATTTGATATATTTGGCACAGAGTGATAATGAATTATCTGTAAAGTTGGTTAAAGAAAGTAGTGATCAAACTACAAAACGAATTTGTCCAACTAAAGCATACGATGTAAGATAAATTCGTGTCAAATTCTGTTATTAATCTGGCATACTTTAGAATRAAGATAAATTAAACTTACCAGCTTGACCTGGGCCTGTTGTACCTCCTAAAAACAAAAACAGGATTTAAATAGATTAATATGAAGAAGACTGTATAATGGATATCTTAAAAAGGAGGCTAACTGAACCAACTGTTTTAGTTGGATGAAACCAAACATCCTATCTGAATTAAAAATCATAGTTTAAGAAATTGTTCTGACCACTAGAGGGCGCAGGTACACCTGCTCCACCTGGAACACACACACACACACACACACACACACACACACACACACACACACNACACACACACACACACACACACACACACACACACAAAAAAAAACACGTTACACTTGATATGTTTAAAAGCTTTGTAAATAAAAAATGTATACTTGGATTATTTTTTTATATATATTTGGCACATTTACCAATACTTGTTCCAGCTGTTGAAATAATAGAAAAAAATACATAATTACAAGAATTAAATTTAAAAACCTTTAATTTCTAATTTTAATTTACTTTATTTTATTTAGGTATTACTTACCACTTGGTTGGACAATTCCACCAGCAACTGTTGACAGATTATATACAAATATGAGGAAACACAGATTTATCTCTCAACTGCAAAAACAAATTAACTACTACTTTTCTAATTTTATACTTACCACCTGTTTCCACGAAAAACCACGATGGCAACAAGCAAAAGAGAAGACAAAAGACAAAGTTAGTGGAAATATTTTTAAAATTATTTGGTCTGATTCTGTCTATTTAATAACCTAAAATAATGAAAATACATCTGAAGTTGTTGAATGAAGTGTGCCACRTTAAACCATGGAACAATTTCATATTGTAATGATGATAATAAACTAATATTCTAATATAAATTGCAATAATATTTTCTCCAATGGCCGTTTTAAGATAACACATAGAGCACAACAGAGAGATGAAAGGATATAATCATTGAAAAAGAAATTAAACCAAAACATCCCTAAACTTAGATTAATCCATGTGGAGGAGTTCAAACAACCAGGGCAGACTTTTGTGAGTATTACAGTAACAGTACTTTTAAAAAAGTCATGAATAGAGGATATTCACATTAAATAAAGGCTAAAGTGTATTTAAAAGAAAATCATTAAGCTCAGTGAGCTGTTAGCAAAAAGGGAAGAAGTGATGTGAGGGAAACAGAAAACGATGGTGACATAAAACTGTGAGAAGTAGCAGAAACCAGACGGTTCAATCAGCCTCTCTTTCAGCACAACATGACTTCATATAAATGAAACATGGTGTCTGGTTTATATAAAAGCTCCCTATATTTGACAGAACAGATCATGCTGATGCCAAAAGCTGTCAAATTCACCTATGGGAATTATAGCAAYGCAACACTGAGGGAAACAGCATCTCTACTGTAAGAACAAAATAAGGCAAAATCAAAGTGGAATAACTAATGTACGATTACAGCATTTAAAAAATAAGTTTTACCAAACAGTGTTCATTAAGAGAGACATTTTTCTAGTAAAATAAGAAAATATATATTCCTTCCTTTAATACTGACATAAATATTCCCATGCTGGTGCTTAATGAAACAAAAAGGTGTATATTTGACAGCTCTGGTAAAAATATCAGTTAATAAAAGCAGCAACAGTTCAGATGAAACAGTATTAAAACGTGAAACTTCTTTTTTTTTCATTTAAACCTACAACCAGTTGGGTAGTCGTGCATGCTTAAACCAACCAAGAAAGTGTTTAAATTCACAGCCACAAAAGGAAATAAATCAACAAAAAGCTGAATGTTTCTCTGTGTGGTCAGAAGCTTGGTGCAAGCAGTGAGTCAGCGGGTCTTACTGGAATCAGGGAGCTCTGGGGCCTTGCTAAGTGAAGAAAGAGGCGTGGGCCCTGCCAAAAAGACGACAGGTTCCTGTTTCATCCAGACGGCTTTCAACAGGCTCAACGTGAAAACAAAAACAAACAAACAAACAAAAAAAGGCCAGAAGAGGCAGAGGAAGCTGAAAACCTAATCTCGGTTCTGCAGCCTGTGAGCTAGAGGCGGTCAGTAGCTGGTAGCATTAGCGATATGAACAATGTGTAAGTTTTGTACGCTGGGAACGAGGAGCCTGCGTACAGCTGTTACTAAAGCAAATACAGAAATATGGAAGTCTGTGAGGGAAAACGGAGAAGTTTTATTTAAAACAAACCTGGCCGAGGAGTTCCAGTGAGACTCACATCCTTTCCTGTCAAAGAAGAAGAACAGTGGTTTTATGGCATAAATGATAGATTTTGTGGCGCTGAAACAACAAACAAAAGAAGACATTATGTTTGTAAATTACCTGGTTTTAAAGGATACCCGTCTGGTCCAACAGAACCGTCTGAAACGTTAGGGAAACCCGCATCTGGAGTCACAATGTGTTGTCCTCCAGGGACGATGCCTGCGAGAAACACTCAGAAAGTTATCAAACACAATTGCATTACTTCTGTTTTATGGTGCATTTTAATCTGCAAACACTTACTGAAAATCGCACCAAACCTCGAATAAATCTGATGTTTTAAACACATTATTACAGAACTTAGTTTAGAAAATCAGAGATTAATTTTGAATGGAATGATGAGCAAAAGGCTAGTCTAAGCAGGGTTGAGGCCAAAGTAAGTTGTTGCCTTCTTGAAACAACTCCAATCTCAGCAATCTGGACTGTTTTAGAGTTATTTCCACTGCTGTTAATTTTTATATTATCTGTCTTTATCCAAATGATTTGATTATTTGCAAGCAAAAAAATGGCAGCTTCTCGTGCAGCCAGGCCCTTCAATGATTGTGTAAAAATTTATAAAACAAGTTTGAACTAAAAGCTGTGAAATTATTCAGATTCTATTTATTTTGGTCTTTGCCCCACTTGTCGATCTGATCTGAATTAGACCCTGTTTCTCCAAACTGAGGTCATTCAAAGTGCAATCTACAACAGATAAGATATTGACTATTAATAACCTTTCCACTGAATCTTACTTAAATCTACAGTAAAATAATTTAAATAAGTAATTATCTTAACCATATTTTAAGGTTGTTTTACTGTTTAACTTACCTTGTTTAGGGGGTTTTACTCCTCCTCCTGCACAGACACAAACATCCATCAGCTTCACTGCACATTTCTAATGCTGCACAGTTTTCACATTAAATGAAAATAAAGAGTAATTAWAACTCTGCTGTTTGGTTTTGCACATGCAGTACCTGTGGCTCCGGGAACCTGTCCTGTTCCTAATCCTGTGACACCTGATCAAACCACAAAGGAGCAGTTTAAATCAATTTACCACAAACAACAGAAAGAACACGCACACAGTTTTGTAAATGAGTTTTAATCCATCAACTTTGTCTTTGTGGTTCATATGAGCTAAGGAGCACCTCCTAAGTTCCATTATGAATRATGGCGTATTATCTGTGTTTGTGTCGTTGTACCATATTTAGCAGCTTTTGCAGCCGGTGAGTACTGTCCACCTCCCGGTATCACTACTCCTCCTGCTCCTGGGCTTGTTCCAGCACCTCCTATCATTCCTAAAACAACCACATAAAAAAAGCAGGTTTCATTGTTAATTTGTAGACAATTAAGTAAAAAAAATGTAAAGAGAAACAATATCCTTACTGAACTGTAAAAAAKAAATTTATTTCAAACCAAATGTTAATGATAGTTTGTTTGTTTATTTTTTCACCATATTTAGCAGCTTTTGCAGCCGGTGAGTACTGTCCACCTCCTGGTACTCCTCCTCCTCCTACTCCTGGTCTTGTTCCAGCACCTCCTATCACTCCTAATTAAATAGAAACATGTTTTATTATTAATTTGTGGGTTATGGCAGTGCTTTTTAAAGTGGGGTCTCACCAGGGGACCCTAGAAAGCTGGAGGGAAGATAAAGAATATTAAAGGCAAAAAAATTAATAAATGTTTTAAATTATTGTAAAATGAAATCTGTTTTTCAATCTATAATTCATAATAATATACTGAAATGTTATTTAATATTCATTCAATCATCAAAGACCCAACCCACCCCCAGCCTGGACTATTCACACATCTGCCCTCTGGCTGGAGGTACAAAAGTGTGACATGCAGAACCTCCAGATACAAGAACTCATTTTCCCCAAGTGCCATCAGRCTTTTAAACAGCTGAACGTGACAATCTTCTGACTATTATCATTTGCACATGTGCACATTCCACACTGTTACCTTTTGCACATTTGCACATTACACTTTAAAAGCAGATTGTACAGTTCCCTTCTTGTTGTCATTATTATATTGTTTCCTTCTGATGTTTWATGCTTAATTTAGTCTCTTTTCTTGTCAACATTGTTTGTGTCCTTTCAGTGATGATTCATCTTTTAATATGGTTATCTTTTGGCATTCAAAAATGAACGACAAAGTAAGAATTTCATTGCTCAGGGAAACATGTTTTTCATCTGTGCATATGACAATAAACACTTTGAATCTTGAATCTTTGAATCTTGAATCTTTGAATCTTTGAATCTTGAATCTTTGAATCTTGAATCTTTGAATCTTGAATCTTTAAATCTTGAATCTTGAATCTTTGAATCTTGAATCTTTAAACCTTGAATCTTTAAATCTTGAATCTTTGAATCTTGAATCTTTGAATCTTGAATCTTTGAATCTTGAATCTTTAAACCTT